TTCCCACTGGTGCCATGCTGCCTGTGGCATTAAGAGGAATCTTATCAAACCTGGGCCTAGCTTAAAAGGGCCTTCAGGGACCACTGAGATGCAGTTTCATTGCAGTGGTTGTGGACATGCTTCAGAAATGTTTGGCTTTGTTAGAGATGTGTTCATATGTTGTGCAAAGGATTGGGGTCTTGAAACCCTGGTGAAAGAGCTTGACTGTGTAAGGAGGATTTTCAAAGGAAGTGAAGATCGCAAAGGGAAGGAATTGCGTGTCAAAACTGATGACATGCTCTTTCAGCTTCAAACCAAAATGGTGTCTCCTTTAGATGCCTGCAATTACATCCTACAATTTTTCAACTGTAAGTCTCTGGAGGTCTTTACTCTTTCATATTTAATTTATGTAATGTTCATTTAAGTTTTGTGTTATTCACGCCATACAGCATTTTAATGTGGATCATGCACTTTGAACATGTCGTAATCTGCTTATTCTCGCCAAATATTTAAGACTGATCCATTTTAGTTGTTGAGTTAATTGCCAAAAAACATGTCGTTTCACTGCATGATATTAAAGGTCTCATCACACCTGTTATTCTTTGGCGTGACTTATAAGTAACGGCCCATATTATTGTCATTTGGTATAAGTTATACAGCAGAGAGGACTGTGTCGCCTTGGAGGAGGGAAAGCTATACTATTGATGAATAGCTTGCTTTCTGAATGCATGTTTCAGTCAGAAAATTGGTGGCAACAGAATTCTCAGGTTGCTTTGGTTTGATGATAAAACTGGCAGGAAAATGATAAAAGATTATTATAAACAAAAGTTTTTGTGATCCGGAGAGATCTCTACTTGAGTTTGGTGGCATAGATTTTCAATGGTCATTCTTATGGGACACGGGGCCATTGGGTAAAACTGGGCCTGGAGCAAACAGGATGTGACATTCATAAGAAGAAATTTAGATGAGCCTCCACAACTGTCTGTTATATACACGTCTTTAAGACTATAAATTACTGTCAATGGTCGTCAGTGTCATCATAACTAATTATCATTACTTAGAAATAACAATAACAGGAAAAAATTAGGAGGAAAATGGAAGGGAAAATAACTTGGTGTCATGGTTATGTTATACAGGGGGAAATTCCAAAGAATAATTGCTATATATGCAATTGAAGGGCATCATTGATAAATGTTAAGCCTTGGACTGTTTATAAATTTCCTGGTAAAAAAGAGCATTAATGGCCTCTTTCTACTTTATGTTGGGCCATTCTTACAAATAAGTTAGGAAGCAGAGGGGATGGCATGCGAAGGGAAGGGATGGAGTAGAACGGAACTATCTTCCCTTTGTTTGCATACGCAATGATTTTAGGAAGTCGAAGGGAAAAAACTTGCAAGTTTAAAAATTCCAATCTAACCTTTATTAACTTGTTTTGAGTTGATTTGATTTTAAATTAGTAAATGACAAGTTTTCTTCTGATCCCATCCCCATCCACCCTCACCATTAGCTCCCATTGGAATTTCATTATTCTTGCTAAGTTTATGTGATGGAAATGCCTGTTTGATTTTAGCTAGATACTGATAATATTTGACATTTACTGTTTGAAGAAATTTCTGATTTTCAGATGCAGATGGCGCGTCAGACTTTCCTTCTTCTGGTATATCTTCAAAGGATTTGTCAGCATCTCAAGCTAATCTTGGGAAGGAAGCAACATCTCTTTCACAATCTAATTCTCTAATGTCAAAATATACTTATAATTCAAGCTTTTCGAGGTCACAATGTGATGTTCTGTCAAATGATCTTCATCAGAAAGATCTCAAAGCTTCCATCTTAAGTGAATTGAAAAGTGAGAGTGATTTCCAGTTGGGAGCTCTGTTAAGAAAAGGTGGTCTTGATAGCTTGGAGAGCATTGTGAGGATAAAGGAAGCAGAAGCCAGAATGTTCCAAAGCAAGGCAGATGAAGCCCGGAGAGAAGCTGAAGGTTTCCAGAGGATGATAAGGACAAAAACGGCACAGATGGAAGAAGAGTACGCAGAAAGGCTCGCCAAGCTCTCTCTGCAAGAGACTGAGGAAACTCGGAGGAAGAAATTGGAGGAATTGAAAGTCTTGGAAAGTTCTCATTGTGATTACTTCAAAATGAAAATGAGAATGCAAGCTGAGATTGCTGGTTTGCTGGAGAGGATGGAGGCAACAAAGCAGCAATGGGTTTAACTTCTTACCTGAATAATTTATTTTTAAGAATGTGCTAAATTGGGTGTAATTTATTGATACGGTGCCATTTGAATCATGTCTGTTTCTTGCTAGAATAAGTTGTTTTTGGTTGATAAATTTGAATACCGGTAGTGCTTAATTAATCCATCATTTTTCCTCACATACTGAGAGCCCAATGTGAGTTGTGCTCTTACTGTAATGTAAGGGAGCCTAGGTGTTTGGATAGGGTAAGTTTCCTGGCATCTGATATTTTGCAGTTGCTTGTTGTCTTGCCGTCTTTCTCTACTCACTGCTCACACTCGATGTAATATTATCTCCTATGAATTGTGACGCGCACATTATTGCCCTCTGTAAGTAAAAACCATTTGTAATCTGTTCTCTAAATGCTTGCTATTTTTAATAATTCCGTCTCTGATTAACTGCTCAAGACTTCAGTAAAATCAATGTTTATGTCTAAAGGGTTCTGTGAACTTTTATTACCGCCACCGGATTGATTAAGATCTGTTTCTATTCAGCACTGGATAGGTGCGTGTGGTATTTCTTTGGGGACTATTAGACAAAGTTTTTTAACCTTGTGGGTGGAGCTTAAAGAAGAAAAAGATAGTGATCACTTAATTAGGGGATTTATTTAATCAAGTGCCTTCTGAAACCGAGCATTTTCTTCCCATTTCCTGAATTTGATGATTAGGCATCGGAAACTTATACGTGGCAATTCTTTTTGTTTTTGTTTTTGTTTTTTTTTTTCTGTAAATGTTAGTGACATCTACCGAATCAGTCCAACTTCAGCGCCTCATAATTTGCTCCTTTTGTATTATACTACTTCTGTCTTAAATTATAAAATATTTTTTTAAAAAAAATTATGTTAAAATATAAGATATTTTAAGTAAATTAAAATTTTATTAAATACATCAATTTTAATATTATCCTTTCTCTTTTTATAATTAATTTATATTCCTTCTCTTTTTAATATATTAAGTGATGAGTATTTTTAAAAGTTTATATTTTTGTTTTCGAAAGATAAGGTTGTTGAGGATATTTAATGAGGTGTATTGGTATGTAAAATTTTATTTAAAAATAGTTTATAATTGAGGATGGAGAGAGTATTAGGGGCTATTTGAAACTGTTTTTATTTTATTGTTTTAAGAATTGATATTCTGTAGAACATGTTCCGAAAATAAAAAAATAATAAAAATAAATATTTTTTTCATTCTTTCTTATTCTTCAAAACAATAATTATAAAATACCTAAAAATTATTTTCATTTTTCTATTCTCCAGAACAATATTTTATTTTTTTATTCTCCAAAACACTTTTTAAAAATACATTACCAAATAATTTTTTTTTTGTTTTCTTATTCTAATAAACAGAAAACTATTCTTAAAAAAAATTTTCAAACATGCCCTTATATTTTTTGAGTGCTTGATCCCTAATTTGACTTTGATATGCGGTGACGTATTTATGTTTATCTCTTGGGCTCTGATATTGCACCTAATCCATTAGTGATAAATGCTACTAGGAAATCCAATTGGCACCTGGTTTAAAGAAAAGGTTAATGGGCAAAAATATTTATTAACTTTTTTCTTTAAGACTACCCAATAATTTTAAATGAATAAAGATGCATTTATAAACTTGTTATAATGAGTGAAATAATTCTCATTTCATTAAATTTGACTAATATACGTCAATATTAATCATTAAAAAATGGAAACAAACATAACATGAAAAAATACCTATAAATTTATGAGTTTTTGGTATTCTAAAATCAACAATAACGATGCATGAGTATCCATTAATTTTATAAAATAGGTTAGTCTTTATCGATCTGTTGAATTCTATTTTTAAAACTTTATGGTCAATCTCAAGTTGTTTTAACTAATTGGAAAATGTTGGAGCCAATACTTTAGGTTAATCTCAATAGGTCAGTCCAAATAAGCTTAAAAAATCTTTGAACTAAGATTGGGAATTTTTTTTTTTTTTACTTTGAGTTTATTCCAGTTGTCTAAATGAGCTAAAAAAAATATGAGCCAAACCTGAATCCGAACGAGCTTAATCTAAATACCTAAATTATTTGTTGTTTAATAAAATAAAATTAAAATTAGATAAAAATTAAAAATTTTATTTTTTAATATAAAAAATAAAATAAAATAATGTGTAATAATTCAGAAATTTAGATCAGCATAAATGAGTTTGAGTTGTTAAAGTTGAGCTTAGCTTTATGACATCTTTTATAAAGTTAATAGATATACATAAATCATTATTGTTGACTTTAATATACCAAAAGCTCCTATAAAAAAACTTTTTGAGTATTTTTACACTTTATGTTTATTTCTTTTTTTTTAATGGTCAAATTAATAGATATTAGTTAAATTTAACAAAATGGGTACTATTCCACTTATTATAACAAGTTCATGAATAATTCTTGCATTTTTATTCACTTAAAGATATTGAATGCACTTGTGGACAAAGTTGAGAAGTATTTTTGGCCTTTCATCATGAAGAAATGCAATTCTTCGCTGCTATCGCATTTTCTATGAATTATTTTCTAGAATTTTTTTTAATCAAAATAGCAAGTCCTTTTTAACAATTCTTTTGGTTGATTATTCTTATATTGAAAAGGTTTTCAATAAAAAAAGCCTAACTTCCTCTCATGTCTCAAAACTAAATCATTTGTTTTATTTGGTGAAAATTTTATGTTGACCTTTTTTTTTTTAAGTATTTTGCAACTCAACACCCGTAGTTTATTACAACAGTAAAATATTCGATACCCGCAAAGTTATCACTTTGGCTTCTAATTATGTTGAGAAAACTTGAATTAAACCAGTAATGTTACACTTCTGAAGGACAAAATAAGGTTTTTGTGCTTTTTCTTGGAGATCCCCTTCAATGAAAACAGCATGACAAAGGAGAAGTTGGAATTTAATCAGGTGTGTGTGGAATTAAGTGTGAAAGGCATTGAGACCCCTTGCCCGATGAATTGTGGATTAAGGGATGAATCTGGGGATTCATTGTTTTGATCAGTGGTATCTGGGGAGAATAACAGAGAGGCCAACACTGACAGCAAACAGGAATAGCAAGAGACCAGAGAAATTGAGGATGAGAGCCTCTCGGTTGCGACCAAGTTCCAGAAACTGAAAGCGTTGAACAATGCCCGTCTCTGCCGTGCACGCTGCTAGCAGGAATATGACCATCCCAATCAACCTGTGCCACGGCTTAAGTGAAGCTCTCGTCGACATTTCTGCTCTCGGGAAGAAATACGTGCAGAACGCCAACATATACTGTCACAAAAACAATGATTAATAATACGCATGCCACTTTTAAAATATGATGGAAGCTAAAATATAGTAAGCGATGGAAATATGCACTGTACCTGCAATCCGAAAGAGCAGATGGCAATCATGCCGAGCCATGAGTGTAAGGTGACCATGTGATGAGGATGCACCTCAGCCTTGAAAACTAAGATAACTCCGAAAATTCCAGATGCTAGAGCTATCAGATGCAGCAGCAGGTGCACCACCTTCACTGATCTGCTTTTTACTTCAAACGCCTTGTGTACTATTACAGCTTTTCAACCCATATTATGTTGTCAGTTAGATCCGTATATATATGTATATAGAGACTTGCGAGGATCAACGATAAATGATGAGGGATGATGCAGCTTACCTTCTCCTCCAACCAAAACAAACCCAATCATCATCATAAGAGTATGAAGCTGCAGAGAAAGAGAGAAAAGAATCAGGACAAGAGTACTTGTCAAACAAAGTCGCAGTACAACTGTTGATGAAGAAGAAGATGACGTTGAGGATCTCGGACTTGTTAGAGAAATTGACAGCGACGCCTTCGCGGAATTTGAGAAGCCAAATGAGCACAAGAGTGGCGACAGCGATGAACAACAAGTGGGCAAATATGGTGACCGGAAATGCGTATAGTTGGTAACTATGAGGCATTTTTGGAGGATTGAAGCGAATGAAGGAGTGCTTGTGCTGATAAATGACGGTGGTTTTGGCTAAGGAGAAGCCTTATAAATAAAACAGCAGCTAAAAGCAGAAAGAAACAAACAACACCGGAAGAACCGACGTCGTACGTCCGGCCGGCTGCTACATTGGTGACAAGTACAATGAAATGAAGCATTTTCTTAGGTTCAGTTATTCCCTTCGTCACCATGATTTTATCAGAGAATAAATGACCGAGTTCATTGATTCCGAGTCCAATTCACACGATCAAACTTCGTCACTCTCTGATGGATAGATGATCGAATGAGGGAGGGTCTTCAATCTCCATACTTGTTTTTAACAATTTCGCGTCCCTTGTGTTTACTATTATTGTTGTTGTTGTTGTTTTCTTCCGAGAGTACTGCAAACTTTGGTTGGCCGAAGAAAGTAAAAGTCGAAGCATCATGAGGGGGAAGTTTGTGCAATTAATTATTTATCGTTGCTTTGGATGGCCAGATGTGCCAGACAAGAAGTCCCTTATCATTTTTCTTCACAAGTGTATTCTCGAATTATTAATATAAATATACGCCGCAGGATCGTCGCTTCTATGGGTCCGGGTTTGGGTACCATGATGTTCATCAATGATGAAATCTAAATCATTTAAATTTTAACATAAATGATTCAGATTTAAATAATTATTGTATATTTTTATTTTTATATTTATTAAAATAAAAATTATAAAATAATTTTAATAATTTTTTTATTTTTAATATGATCTAAATTTAATTTAAATGATCAAATTTAATATTAAAATTTTCATAATTATTATATATTAATTATTTAAATATACTTTGTATAGTCTAGATTTAATTTAATACTAATCTGGCGTGTGCAGAATATATCTAAATAGTCAATATATATATCAATTATAAAAATTATAATATTAAATTGGCCTCTTTAAATTAAATCTAGACCATATTTAAAATAAAAAATTTTTTAAATTATTTTATAATTTTTATATATTTTTATTTTAATAAATATAATATATAATAATATTTTAAATTTAGACTATTTAAATCAAAATTTAAATGATTCAGATTTCATTATAGTGATAAACAGCATGGCGCAATGAGCACCCGAACCCATTCCCACATCTATGCAATGTTAAGGAGATTTTTCGTAATTCAGATTGATTTCATCAATATCAAAAGGGAAAAAAATTCAACACGTTTTTAGAAGGAATGTGCTAAAAAAATATTTATACACACCATGTTATTATTGAGAGGAAATGAATATGAGAATGATTACAAAATGAATTGAAAGAGTTGAAAAGGAAATATAAATACATAAATGTATATATAGAGAGAGGGGGGGGGGAGGAGGAGTGAAGAGCAAGAAGAGGAAGGAGGACAGGGCGTGTTGAGAGTTCAGACATAGTGGGCAAGGGCAACACTGAGATCAACAAAAACACCGAACAAGAGAATAGCGAGACCCGTGAAGTTCATCAAACGTCCTTCGCCGTATCGCAGGATGTGGTTCAAGCTTAAGAAAGTGTACTTCTCCATCAAACCCGTGAGAGCAGCACATATGCTCATGTACAGCAGAGCTCTCCCACCTGCTATGTGCCACGGAGCCACTCTCATCTTCGTTTCCTCCTGAGCTCTTCCCATGAACGTCAAGAATCCAACAACCCACTGCATCATCCACCCCACATATAATTAATATTAATTTAATTTATGCATATGCATGTGTTTCTTCTGATCATGATGTAGTGTGTCTATACCTGCAAGCCATACAAGGAGAAAGTGCCGATGCCAATCCAAGAATGGAGGCTGAACACATTCTCCAGGTGGGCCATGTCGTGGAACTTGAACACGGCGCATAAACCAACGATTCCCAGCACGAAAGCAATCAAGTGGAGCAACATGTGCATGAACTTCTGGGTTGACCTCTCGCTCGGTATCGTATGGTACGCCATCATTGCTGCTCACACGCACAAAATGTTTTACTACCCGTGCTGCTTAATTACTTTCTTAAACATGTATAAGTGCCAGTTCAAGACAATGATCATATGTATACGCGGACAAGATAGATGCTGATCATCAAGACTACTGTTATGCATACCTTGACCCGACATGAAGATATAACCCATGAACATCAGAAGAGGGTGGACCTGCGTGAGATTTTGACGAAGATCAACAGTTGGGTTAAAAAGAAGAAGAAGAATATGTAGGTAAGAGAATGGTTATCTGTATATAGTTACGTACGTTGAAGACTCGGTATCCGTTGAAAGAATCATACTCAATCCCCTCGCGAAAATGCAGCAGCCAGATGAGCAGGAGGATGATGGCGAGGATCCCAAACAATTGAGCAAAAATGGTAATGCGAGAGGCACGACGACTGTACACAACCCTGTCCATATCCATTATGGCAAACAGAGATTGTGGAAATATTTAGGACTTTCGAATGGTGATTCTGGTATGGTGGGGTGTGGTGTTTTAAGGTTCTTATACACAGATCAGTGTTTTTGGCTTTACGAAAGGGAGGGAGAATTGCTTGATGGGTTGGTTTTGGAATTTTGATCCAACAAAACTTTGAGCTTTAGCAAGCATCTTAACCATTGAACAAAAAAAAGAGGATATATTCTTAATTAATTTTGGAAGCCATCATGCATTCGAGTGTCCCACATTCCATAGAATCCAGTTCAACCCAACTCTGTTAGTTTTAAAGTGGGCCCACGTGATCTGGCCTTGTTCTTAACAATTAGGATTAGGATATTTGGATTCAGAGCAATTATTTACCCAGTCCCCTGGTCACTCGCTCATGTATCTGAGCATAACGAATGCGTCAGATGATAAAGCTGCCTTCAATAATAATGATTAGTGAATACTGAATAGTGAATGCGGCTATTCCTCGTTTCGTTGGTTAATTTGCATCATTAAATCGAGAAAATATTTGAATTGAAATGAGAGAGAGCGTGTGGGAGATCAAAACGACAAGTTGGAAAAAATTGGAGGCCTTCGGAAATCTTTAACAAGAAAAGTATCTTTCACAGATAAAAAAGTACTGCCGATTGCCACGAAGCAGATCAGATGGCTTTTCTTTTGGACAAAACTCTCAAACATGTGGCGGTGAAGTATGGGCTTATCCTGTCGATTTGGGTACAATCCATCTTCCTCACGAGCCATATTGGACCCTTGGCCCATTTCAACCTAAAAAAAAGGCCCAACAAACTCCTGCGCCCTTATCCAACACAAGGACAGGTTATATTGGATTTTCCCCCTTGCTAAAAAAAGGGTTTAAATCCACCCTTCATTGTTTCAGCTAATCCAAACTAATTTAGTGCTGCTACAACTTTAGCCTGAACTGTTTTGCAAGGATTTACAAGCCTTCAGAAGTAGTCTGTTCAAGTCAAGTCACAAAGAAATAAAGCCAAGTTTCCAAATTAATGTCATAAATTTGAAATAGTTTTAAATGCTTTTCAAACTTTAAATTCGTTTCAAACTATTGTCCTTGCTGTCTCACATACGGGTAGAGAAAAAGAAGATAGAAGCTTGGTTGACTATATATGTTGATGAGGCTGCATATACCCACGAGGACCACACTCTAAAGTTGGAGGTCCTTCCCCCCACACAATTTTAATCGTGTCTCATCATCACTCCATTTAACTACGCACGTACTTACACATTATCTCATTCTTCTTCTAAACCATGAAGAATTTCTCAGTCAAGACAAAATCGTTCTATAATTTTTCTTCCCTCAATTCTAATCCTAGGAACATATTCCTCCCTCACTTGACATTTTCTGCCCAAAATCCTAATTATACTTTTTAATTAATTAAGAAATTATTCAATCCATTTCAAAAACAAGTCAAGAGAATGCAGCTGGTAGCTGGCTAGCTATGATCGATGATGCAAGAGTTAGGTTAAGTTTTTCACTGCATTTCCAAAATATTTTAACTGATCTGGTGAACATATTGATGTCTATGGTCATCATTATTGATAGATTTCTTTTTCGTTATGAATATCATGTTCATAGGATTGGCAAGAGAAATCATGGAGGCACATACTCTCCATAGTGGTTGTCAGATAAGCATAACTACTTTGATAGAGACATTTGCCTCAATTCACTTAGCTACTCTTGCTTCTTTATCCTCCTTAATTAATTCTTACTTTAGTTTTCTGCCATGTTCAATTGCACAACGTCGAGAATTTTTCTTTTTGCCATTGCTAGACATCTATTTTTTAGGTCCATTCGTTCGGTTAAATCTAGGATCATTAATTAGCTTCCTGCATAAGCTTGTGGCGCACGTAATTGTATTATTTCCATAATTAATGCATATATATATATATATATGTATATGTATAGGGGCGCTTTTTAAACAAGAAATATAAAATTGGAGAGAACAATTCCCTAAATTTTGTGCAATGCGAGCGTACATGTGAACAACCATTAAAAGACCACAAGAAGATTGGAGTTGTTGCCATTGTGGGAAAATTTCTTACCACGATCACGACATCCTTTGCATGTAAGTTATTGGCAACATCTATACAATTTAATATATCATACCATATTTATGCGTGTGTAAAACTTTTATACTTAAAATGAATATCAAAATTAACATAAAATGAAGCTACAGAACTTAATTTTTTTCCCCTTTAATTTATAAATCTAAGATCCAGGAGGGCCTTAGCTTGATTCGTTTGTGTGTGTGTGTGTGTGTTGGATATGGGAATAAAGATAAGGATATGTATGAATCGCATGCAGAACACACAGCAGGTCTACAAAAGCATGTATAAGTTGATAATAAATATTGTTGCATGAAGTATATGTGAAATCATGTAGACATAGGTGAGATGAGTTGGTGCGCGCTTGTGTGTGTAGAACATACGAAAACTGAGAGGAAAAAAGGACTGACAAAGACGTAGAGATATGGTAGGGCCGTAGCAAGCAGCGTCCATGTGTATATATATTTGATGGCAGTTTATGTATTCAATGTCACCATATGTCACCACATATACATATATATATATATAATTTTTTTTTATATTATGCATGTATTATACATGCTTCCAATGTCTAATACCCTCTTAATTATAACTAAATCGTGGCTCCACTGGTTCACCACCCATGAACATCATTGCATGTTTAGGTAAAAAGGCACAGTTGAGTCACATTCATATTCGTCTCATTCCTTATCTTCTCACAGTTGTCTCAGAAAATGACTTCCCGGACCAGCAACATATGAACCAGCACTTTCAAGCTGTTTTTTCTGCATATGAGAGCATCAACTATGTATACCTGCTGAAGTAACCCTCACATTCTTAAATGCCACCTTGTTTGTTTTCCTGCTAAATTACTACACACACGTATCTATTTTGAGTGGTACATATGTACGTATTTGAAATGATGGAAATATAGAAGCCACAACTCTAGTGTATGGCTTTTCAAGAATTGAGTGGACGAACAAGCGTGTTCCGTTATCCATGGTGGCTGTAAAAGAGAGGAAAGGGACTTGCGATGATGTGTCAAGCTGGGGCTGAGCTGTACCCCCACATCCATCATATGTTTCTGCTTCTCTCAAGCTATCTGATAAATAATATTTAATTTGATGAACAATGCTATATATTTTAACATGATTCAAGTGCTTCTTTTAATTAACTTAGCCCGTCTGAAATATTTACTACCTATAACTTTACCTGATCTGTGGTTGTCAATTGTCATGGACCGCTAAAAATTGTGATAGGTTTCAGTTATTAATTCATGCAGCTTAATGACTTTACCACTCAATTATGTACGCGGTTAGAGGGAGATAAGGATAAGGATGTGATATATAAGAGTGTGATCATAATTTTTTGATATATAAATGTGTGTGGAGACCATTAGGGGAGTGCTAATTTGTCCACACATGTACACCACTTTACTTTGATGGGAATGTTACGCCAATAAAATCAAAGTGGGCATATATTTCCCAAACGTAACATGAAAGCCGAAAGCTATTATTCTTCTAAATATTCTAACCCTGACCAATCAACAATTTCTTTTTAAGTATATTGTCCAAAACTGATCCAAACCTCCCGTGCATTTTTCTAGTGCCATGTACAGGTCTTCAATCATCTGAATGTCAAACAATATCTCTGAGCCGCACCTTCAATCTAGCCTTTGAGAAATGAAGAAGGTGCTTATTTCCCTGAATTTCCTGATCTCATTTATCTTTTGTAAACCATATATGGTGCTATAGGTATATTAGACTCCACCACATAGGAATTTCTATAGAAATTCTACACACGCAGACCGCATATATATAATTTCGCTAGGGATTTAAATTTGAAGTCTTTCCAATGCCAGGTCTGCACGTTGAAGGGAGATCTATCGTTAGGGTGTAATAAAAGTCAATGATTTTGTGATGAGGAGGCATGTAGTAATGAAAAATAAAAGAAACCAAAGTAATCAGAACATAAATATGCACTGGGCTCTTGATTAATTAGTACTTTGCCAGGATAACTTATACACCGGATACAGCAAAGAGTCCAGTCCTCAAAGAACACATAGGAGCAGTTGGGCAAACTGCCGCTATATATAGCAGCAGTTTTTATTATTATGCTTAGCAGAAAATTAAATCTGAGTGCAAATTAACCACATTAATTCCATTTTGCTTGTAATATTATATGATAATGATTTTCATTTTTTATATGCGGGTGTTATACTGCTGATATTATAGATTTTATCATGTATGTTGAAAATATTGGTTGTGAAAGTATATGATTGTTTATTGATGACAAAGGTGGTGAATACCGAGTGATGATTTTATTTTGTTCAAGCTTTATGTCACTACTCGAATGCGGGGGGCCTATGTTGGATGTGTATAAAGTTCAACATCATGTCAGAAAATGGCAAGCTCCATTAAAAATGTCAATGATTTAGCTTCAGATATAAGCAAGGGATATATATATATATATATATATATGATTGATGAATGGAGCAGTAGTTTTTTTAAAAAAATAAAAACAAATGAAATGAAGGTAAGAGAGAGCTGGAGATGGAGGGGCAGTTATGAGTTGGAGGAGTGTTATACATATGTCGGGAATAAATGATGTGGGAAGGGCCTACTTTCTCACAACTATGCTATCAAGTGCAAAATTGCTACTTCCTCTTCCAAAAACATTCTTATCATTTCTCTTCTATCCATCTCTTCTCTTTTATTCTATATACTATTTCACTCCAGTATATCAGTATATGCTTATTGTCCAGTCATTAAATCATTATTATTTTATTTTTTGTGCAACCTTAACCTTATAATGTTTTACTTCGGTGTGTGTGTGTATTTATATTTGCACCGAAAGGTACTTAAATTATTACCTGCGAGCAGGCTAGCCACCTTTTTTCAATGTATTCAGTAATCAGTACTCTATTCTGTGTGTGTGTGTGAGAGAAGTTTATGGTTCTGTACTTTTAATTTCTTTGGATGCTTTGGATGGGTTTGTT